AGGGTGGGAAGAAAACACGATGGACTCACGGGTACGGAAGTTCGCACATATACAATATGTGCAATCAGATCTCCTGTCAAGATTTCTTCCGTGCCGTAGTGCTAGTAGCGCCACTGACTACAAATGAACGACGTGGGCACTCAAACGTGGATGTAAACCATGTGCCTACACTCTTTCGGTCGCCACTTTCCCCTGGAAAGACGGAACGCTTGACGGAGATGCATCAGGCTCGAAGTCGGGCACTCTACGCGTGAAAATTGAGAGTTGGTCGCGCTCCCGAAAATACCAGGCAGGCGCATTAAACGAATGCCTGTCTGGTAAACGACGGTATTACAGAGTGAACCAGCCGAGACTTGAAAAACGTTGCTTTGCGCAACACGATCGGATGTTGAACAGAGAGAATGGGGTTCCGTGGTGTGCTTGAATTTCAGATCAACTCCACCTCTCTTTGCGATATTCCATCCATATTCGTTGTAAGCGATACCCTTGAAACAAAGCGAGATTATCAATATCGAAGCTCGTAGGCGAAAAACTTGAGAGTTATACCTATGATGCGGTAGTAGAACTAATACTGAAGCTTGAACCGGCTTACACCCATGCTCGCAGGAAAAGGCGAACTGGAGCACACAACAAAGTGCTTTCCGTCTGACTCTGGATTCGGACTCCGTAATGATTCATGAATCATGCCCTGGAACAGAGACGATGAGTGTCGGAAATGAGTATGAAAAGGAAGTGGCACCTCTCATAACGATCCCCATTCGCTACGAATGAGGATGACGGTGACTGCCCAATCTATTTGACCACAACATCGACGCCGCCCTGCAAAATGACCGCCATGTTTCTGCGCAGTAGAAGACAATTTATTTTCCGCGACTTCTTGACAATGGAAAGTCTAGCAATAACCTAAGGAAGCAATTGAAGCAATGGTCAACGCAGAAACAAGACCAACACACCTCTCTTCATATCGTTTATCGCGTCCCTCGAGCCCATCTAGTCCTACATCCTAAAGCCCACATTACTTGCCCAGACCGTGTATCGCGCATACTTCGAGTGTTGAGAATCCCGGTGAATTCTGGTGGTGGTCATGGTCGAGAAAAGAAGGAGCATCCAAAATTCTTGGGCGCTAAAATTCGCTAAACTTCCCTTTCTCACCACCATCGTCTGCTCGAGACTACAATCGCGCGCTATTGTCCAAATTGTCGGCGTCTCAATCCAGCAAGCTCTACCGTAAGCTAGAGATGGCATGAAAGGGCTTGAAGTTGAACGCATCGTGTAGGTAAGCCTCTCCATCTTAAGTGTCGAGGGTGGCAAATCATTTTTCATCTGAATTCATGAAAATAAGGCAACTGCCTGAAATCACACAAAATCATATTAAATATTGTCAATTCAAGGGGGAGCTTTTTCCTGATGTAGTGGAGGTGGGTCATACTACACAATCAATGACGGTGTCTTTCGTCTTTGGCAGGTTTCCTGTAGCCGCCTCACCAGCCGCTTTACATGATGATAGAGCTCAACCTCTCACCGGCGCAGCATCAGGCTTTGAACGACTATCTTCAAAACTCTGCCGCAGCGCGTGGCTCGAGTCTGCGCCTTACCAGCTTTGTCTGGAGTCGCCCGTCTTGTCAGACCTTGCAATATACGGAATTAGTTGCATGCACTACCCTGTTTTCGCAGTCGCTGTGGACAGAGAACTCGTTGCAAGAGGCTTGGATGAATGTATGGATTTAATAGGTGTGTGCGTAGGGTTTCTTCACTCTTACTCTGGGCCATCCGATTCGCAGATGAATTCATTGCACCACCTACGAAATCGAAGGGTACATGGTCTTTGGCTGGAATATAATGGACTTCGCCCAGCTCGAATTGTAACACTGTCCAAGAACGTGTAGTCGCGTACCGGCAGCTTTTGTCAATATCCATGATACATATGAAGACTGCAATTGCCCTGTGCCAAACGCCGTTTTCTAGCTATCGATGTAATTCGCCTACCTTCAGGTCTGCCAGTGCGTTACGGACTTATTGCCTAGCAGTGCTTATCACTTATTGTCCCCGGTTCGTGTACTGGAATTCTAGCTATCTTATTTTGGCATCCTCGTTTGAATATTCTCCGTTCCGCCATAGAGATATACTACATCGCTGCTCACTCTACGTAGTTCTGGCTGTCACCTTGCTACATTGAGTGGAATACATACAAATTTACAGGACGGCTTATATAGGAAAGGTAAAGTACACACAAAAGGACATATAACAGGCATAGTAAAATACCTCGTATTCAAGGCTGATACGTGATCATGATGATGCGGGCGTGAGGAAGTGAATACAGTGTTTCTAATATACATAGGATGTCAACCACCGTCCTGGTCCCCAAGCATATAAACTTCGATGCTCGGTGCTACCCTAGTGAGAGGACTAGGAGCGACGCCGCGAGGAACGAGGAATATCTTTTCCCGATGGTTGATTGTGTGATTCAGGCTGAGGTCGTTTAGTGCACCTTTTCTCGTGACGCGTACAACCATGTTTCGTCACGAAGGACTTGAGACAATAGGAGCACTGATGCGGTCTAATACCGTCATGGGAATTGGTATGATCTGTACGTAGATAGATTAGCGCTGCTCAGAGACTCGGACAGAACACTGGAAGAAACCACATACTGTTGAGTCCGTTCTTGGTGGTGAATTTCTGACTGCATCTTGGGCACGAATAATTTGCCGTCTTCGTTCTTCTCCTCATAGACGCCTCTTGAACATTTCTCGAGGCTACCGCCCGGTCCGAGGTGGAAGATATCATGTAATGACATTGAGTTGCTTGGTACGATGTGCCAAGATTCCGAGCCAAATATGGTGAACCTGCCATCGTTCGCTGATCCATGTCGTTATTCCCGATGGTCACCTCCTCTAGCAATCCATTTTGCGGATTTCCCGTCCCTTGAGACATCGTAGGATCAGCGCCTGGGTTGTATGGGGAGGTTCTTCTCCCTGCATATGCCATTTGAATATTTTCTGTAGGATAGCCATCGTAGGTAGGGCCCTGGGACAAAAATGCAGAGAAGGGTGATTCTGCGGCAAAGTTACCCTCATTTTGAGACTCAAAGATGGGTGGGATCATTGGACGATCCAACACATCGATTCCCGTAGTCATAGCTAGTGCCTCTGGCGTACCAAGATCGACACCGTCCTGAGGAGGGGGCGAATGGAGAGACCCTGGGTCTGGTGAATGGTGGCTTTCAACTTCGAGAATTTGTGAAGTCTCTTCAGGGGGAACTGCAGTTTGTGACTCAAGGTCTTCATCTCGTTCGATTGAGTCTTGTCCCGCGAGGGACAATAACATTCTCTTCGAGTATCCCTGCAAAGTTTCGGAAAACGGCCTGATATGATCCATCGTCTATCAGTTATAAACCGCATGAAAAAAAAAAGATAACGCACAATACGGCGACACCAATTGACACCGACCCCGACAAGACTGCGAGCGCGGTAACTGCTGGGCTAGTACTCTTCGCAGCCCCAAGTGCTGAACCAGTTCCGCATACTCCACCCAAAGCAGATAAACATGCTTTTCGAATCTCTAGCTTTGAGCGCGCAGGTGGCTCAGAAGACATGGGACGAAAACAAGGGCAGCATCCTATCGAAACGAGAGCTATATAGAGCCCATGAGAGCTGCATAACACAGCCTCGAAGAATAGAACGATCACGATGTGCTGATGTAGGCCTCGTGTTTTGACAGCTTTTCAACAGCTTGGATTCAGTTTCTTATACTCGCAATACGAAATGTGCAGACATACAAGGGTCTGTTTTGTCCTAGAAAGCACATGATGAGGGTAGGCTGGTGTCGGAGGAAAAAGCCTCAAGGTGCATTCTGTGTTTACAAAATCGGTGACCTATCACCATTAAGAATTGAGAACGCATTACAGTAAAACAAATGAGAACTCACCATAAACTGGGGAACTATGTCTCTCGTCGATAAAAGAATCAATTGAACCGAATCGAAGTATCCCGGACCTTTCCTCTCTCAAGGTAATTTATCATAGCCATTCGCTAACGTGACGATAGCGGCGTGGATATGGATGAGGTACAGCGTACAACAAGCTCCTGAATACGGGCAGGGCAGGTACAATTAATACCGAATCGCTTTGAAAATCCAAAAACGCCAACTCACCAGCATCCGAAATACACCTTTGCTTGTTTGCTTGCTCAGCGCTCAGATTCCATCGAGGTACTTATTGACTCTAGTAGGCTAAGAAGCCAAACTTCCTCGATCGTTCAGAGAGATAGCACCAGTCGGAATGCGAAACTGCAGTCTTTTGAACCGGTTGCCCAACGGTGCAATGCAGCGTATCTCTCGCGGCTGCGATGGACTTGACGACAATACGCAGGGTAGTGTACATCAGAGGCAGGGACCGGAATGGATGCTCGAGGTTTTCATGGTTGCCTGCAAGAGAAGGTACATAGCTTGCGCTTGCGCTTGGAAAGCCATGTCAGCCTGGTTATCTTCCCGAAAAAAGACACATCGACACACACCTAATACCTTTAGACCCCAATCCGTGACATCCAGAGCCCCAACGAAGAGAATGACCGTTATTTTCCGCAGATGAGGTTGCAGAAGCTGAGGAACTTGAGACGCGGTTTGCCTTCTACAGCCATTCGGACATCGAAAAGCTTGAATGGGTCGACATTTGACGGTTGGGCAAAAGAACTTGCAATGTTGGAGGAAGAGGTGCATTCCGTGCTCGGATACCGCGTCCAATGTGCATCTGATTTCCTGTCGACGTCGAGAGCGTATGTATCTGCAAAAAGGAAGATTTAGTCAGACTCGGAGTCGGAGCTCGCAGCAAAGATTTGCTCACAGTTTAATTCTCTTTCCAGTACCATCCATCCAGGAGCATCGTGATACGTTGAAAAATGTACGGAATATTTGAGAAGGATGTCACGATGAGGAAAGGTGTGGTCGGTTGTGGTCCAGAAACGAGTGGGAGAGAAGAAAAAACTCTGAAGATGGGGTATATCCATTCCGACCTGCCTGGTTCGAACAGGCGACCCCAAGATGGCTTGGTAAAGTAACCGATTACAGTCTTGTGCTCTTCCAACTGAGCTAAGGTCGGTGATACAAGTAGTTTCACCCAGCCTGTGACACCCCCGTTCATCCATCCAGGTCCTAAACGTACAAAGCACATAAATCCATCGTAAATCCATCGTAAGTACTCGAAATAAAGAACCCCGGCCTAGCTATCTCACTCAGCATCAGCCTTTTCCTCCTTTTCCTCTGCCGCCTCCTCCTTATCCCCGTCCCCATCCTCCTCACCACCAGCACCTTTACTCCCCAACACAGTCGCATTAAACGTCAACTGCACTTGTACCTTCTCCTTGCCCCCTTCGGCATCATCATTCTGCAATTCGACAGTAATCCTCTTACTCCCCTTCCATCCATAACTCCCTGTATTGAACGTACTAGGCACCAAGGTGAGGTTACCTAGGAACCCTGGATCGGCGTGTGCGGTGGTGGTGGTAGCGTCTTCTGTGGAGTCGGATGGTAAGATTGGTGGGGTGTGTGTAACGTTGATGTGTAAGGGGAGAGCTTTGGCTTTGAATTGGGATGCGGGGAGTGTTGCCTGTGGAGCGTGGCGTAGCACTTAGAACATTGTAGATTTAGAACTGGGAAAAGAGAGCACCTTTGGACCACCTTTCTTAGCACCGCCCTTCTTACTCACCGGCTTCTCTTTCTCGACTTTTGGGTTCTTCGCAGACCTAGTCGTTCGTCCCCCAGATGTGGGGCTAGAGTCTGGTGCGGAGCGTTTTGTGCCAGCTGCAGAGCGTCAGCATCAGCATTGGTCTTTGTGCTTTGTGAAGCGTACATACCCATCTGTTGTTGTTTTGTTGGGGGTTAGGAATGTAGGTGGTTGAAAGAGAAAGGGAGACAGCGCGCGGATAAATACTCCCAAGCGAGACAATCAAGACCCCCTTGTCTCCAAGGCAAACGGCAAACACGAGACACCAAAACAAGGCCCCAATTTCCGGGACTTCTACTTAGATTGACGTCACGCGTACGTCGGCGGCGTTTGGGTTTACACGCGTTCAATCTTCGAGGCAGATTACAGTGTTATCTTATCAGGTTGACGGTGCCGCGGTTGGTAGCGGACAGCGTCTCGTTCAGCTTAGAGCACGTCCTGGTGAACACAGGTGAACTCGAAAACTGTCCTTGACAAAGTCTTTTGTACACTGTCTTAGCTCTACAACAGAGAAATCACAAATCAAACTCAAACTCTGAATCTGAATCATCATCTCTCTTCTTATTCTTCCCTTGTCCACGTATATTCTTTTGTGTCCGACCATTCGTCGTCGTCGTTGCTCGTGCCCGAGTCTTATCTTCCTCGTCGTTGTCGTCATCGCTGTCCTCGTCTTCGTGGTTATGTCGTTCATCAGGTTCCCTACGTTCAGGTGGATGCAGAGCACCTGAGACGAGTAGTAGTGCTTCCAGTTCTACGTGAAATGTTAACATCAGGCAGGCAAGCAAGGAGAGAAACAAAGACGTACCTTCACGTCTTCTCTCTCGTCCCCTTCCCCATCCAACGACCTGATTAATGACCTCACCTTTCTGATACAGAATTATCATCGGTATCCTCTCCTCAGGCAGGTTAGGTATACACTTGTCCCCGACGATCAAGATGAACTTTGTTCTTGGATACCGAGCTGCTAGAGTATGAATTTGTGGGAGGAGTGTATCCGATGCTGGGATCCTGTGTAGTTTTTCGTCTCGTTCCTTTCCGTGCGCAGAAAACAGAGCACATACCCATCTTTGTACAAAATACCGCTGGCGTGCCCTTCCCTATCGAATATACCTTTCCAAATCGTTCTTTTCTCTCTAACTCCTTCTCCTGTTTCGGCCTACAGCGTATCTGTGGTTTTAATCTGGATGTGGGTGCACTAAACATAATTATCAGTGAAAAGCATTTCACTGAGAGTGATTATGACACACCATTGTTTAGAAACTAAATCCCAAGACTCTTCAAGGATCTTAGAGGTCACGCACATCTTGTCTATATGAACAGCTGACACTAAAATCCAACACACCCGCCATTCTTCCGGCCTGATCTCTCCAGAGCTTGCAGCTTGGTGGTATTCCCTTTCCCTGAGCCCAAGAAATCCTCTGAACCCGCGACAGTGTTGATAAACGTTCCGAACCCAAGGAAGTCTGGAATCCGAACTTGAGGTAAGGGTTTGAAGAGCAGAGTAAAGGTCAGAATATGGGCGAAGGGTTCAAGAACTGGCTTGCGCATTGAGTTAACAGTATGGACAACTCTTCCGTTAGATGAAGGGGCGTTTGGTTACGCGAGGAAAGTGCTGAAAGTGCCGGTCGACGATTGACCGGCACTTTTATTTTTCCCACGATCTGGTCTCTATTTTTGATCATCCTGGAATACGCTAGACGACTCGTGCACATTTCTTTCTGGCTCCCGAACACCTTGAACGACCCGGACGCCCCGAACGGTGGACTCCCGGACGACCTGGACTTCCCGAACCTCCCGAACTGCTGGATCTAGGATATCCTGTTGAGCTCGGCTGCAAGCCTCGTAGCCTCCGAAAGGTCTAGAAGGTGTCTGTGAGGAATACGTGACGCGTTCCCCATGACTCGCTCACCGAGTCTCTCCGTTACGCTTACCATAATATATCTTTCCTTATTTATCTTATGCCTATGCCAGATACATATATAAACCCATAGATAAATCATGTATTCCTTAGTTCTGCTACGAATCGTACTAGCTTTAGGACGGTCATTTGTGGAACTACATAAGTCTTCGTGTGAGGCTACTGTGACTAATACTCACGCTATCCTTACATATTTTTGACCTGTCCCAACTTTACTCTCTACTCGCTCTCAACCTCTAAACCCGTTGTTATCGACGGCGGACACCCTACGGTCTGATCAACCCGACGTGACCCCTCGACATCGACACCTATGTCCCATTACAACCTTAGACGTGGAGGCGGCACTAGCCGTCCACCACAATTCAATCCCCCATCTCAACCGCCTGTGGAGGCTATGTCTCCGGGCTCTCCGTTGAGTTCTGGTCCACCTTCGGATGGACATGCACCCTCGCCGACGCTCACTTACAGTGAAGCAGTCAAGGCTGGAGGCCGTTCTGTTTCCTCGTTGAGCCGTAGAAGTTCCGAGGACCTTGATAAGAGTTATTATCAAGATGTAAACGAAGAGGATGACGATCCTACCTCTTGGACTACTGTTACCCCGAGACGTCGTTCTCGTAGTCTTGATGTAAATACACGAGTACCTGGCAAAACGCCAAGGAATAAATTGACTTTGGATCAGGAAATCCTTGTCAAAGAAGCTGAGAAAAACATGAGCAAAGATCAGCGTGATAATGTTGCCAATAGAATGAAAATTGTGGAGCAACATACCGATGGTGATAAGAACCCATCTGAGTCCTCCGACAGTGAGGAAAGTAGTCTGAGCGACTCTCCTGCTGAAGCTGAAGCTGCCAAGGACAAAGGCAAGACGGTTGATCCTCGTAACTGGGGTGCCGCGGGCCTGGAATCTGATGACATTGATGTCGAAAGGCAGCGTGCGGCGATCGAGAACTGGAAAGAAAACCAGAAGAAAGATCAGCAGCAGCATGAAACAGCCAATAAGGACATACCTAGGCAATCCATTGACCCTGATCCTTCTGAAAGCTCTTCTGAATCCTCCGATGATGAAGTTGCCACTAAGAAGAAGAAGAAAAGGTCTAAGCATTCAAAGCGCTCCAAGGGGAAGAAGAAACATACCCAGGAACGTGCTATGTCTGAGGCATTGACGGATTTGGTTGAAAATCATGTCCGTGATATTGTTGAACAAAGGCCGCGCAAGAAAAGGGCAGATCCTTATCGCCCTCGTGGAAATGTTGAGCGACTCGTTCGCCCAAGCGAGCTCCTTGCTCCAACCAATCATCTGTCAAAGTTGTTGTCTCCAAAGAAGGCCAGCGGACATGGCGGTGGCGGTAATGGCCCACCATCAGATTCGTCAAGCTCGTCCTCTGATTCGGACTCATCCTCCGATGATTCTTCTGGCAGTGATTCGGATTCGGATAGCGAGGACTCCGGTGATTCTAGTCTCTCAGACTCTGGTGATGAGTCTGATACCTCATCAAGTTCTGATTCGAGCACGTCTTCAAATGATTCAGATTACCGCCCCAGGCGTAGACACCGCCAAAGGCGCCATTCTCGACGACGACGATCACACCATGGCCGTAGGCGGAGGCATTCTCGTAGACGGAGACATCAGAAATCATCTAAGATGATTCTCAAACCAGATCCTCCTGAACCATACGATGGATCGCCGGATGTACGTTCCTACATCAAATTCGTCACTGAAGGCACGGCATATGTCAAAGATGGCAACGTACCAAAGAAGAGACGTGTTTTGAAATTGTCTAAATTCTTGAAAGACAAGGCATATCAATTCTACCTGAGTACGGTTGCTGATGCACCGTTCGACTGGAGATTGCGTCAGTTTTTCATTGAGCTATATAATTACTGCTTCCCGTTGACGTACCGACTGGACCAACGCAAAAAGCTTAAACGTTCCTTCCAGAACAATAGACCTGTTCGAGAGTATCTTGCTGAGCTGCGAGAACTGTTCAACACAATTGGTATGGTTGATGAACGTGAAAAGGTTCACAAACTTTGGACTGGCTTGAACACGAACATCCAAAAGGGATTGTGGCGTGAAAAGTTGAATCCTGATTACTCGTCATACGAGGAAGTGGAACGCACGGCTGAACATGTTGAGATCATTGAGAACGTGAGCGTAAACCAGAATGACGCACCTAGAAGGCATGATCGACCTGCCCGTAGCTCTGGAAGCTCAACTGCGCAGGCATCATCCTCATCTTCTCAAACAAGGCATGGTTTCCCCCAACGCCGGCCATCTCAGCATGCACGCGCAGGACCATCTAATCATGGTCATCGAATCCATAGATCTGGAATTAGACATCAGATCAAGAGACCCCAGAACAAACCTCGAGAACTCACCGAGCGTGAAAGGGATGAATACCGAGCGGCTAACAAGTGTTTCCGCTGTGGTGAAGTTGGCCATATGGCGAGACAATGC